TGAAGATGCGGAGAGTTTCCACGATGAGTTGTGGCCGTCTTTCTTCTGATGGAACCGCTTGTAACACCTTGACGGCTGGGAGGATCACTTATTTTCTGCATCGTTTGTCGTAAAAATGCGGAGAGTTTCCACGATGCGTTGTGGCCGTCTGTCTTCTGATGGAACCGCTTGTAAAAACTTGACGGCTGGGAGGATCACTTATTTTCTTCGCTACGATGTCTGACATGCGAAGTGAAGACAAACCTGGATCTGACTTTGCCCTTACTGAGCTGTTCTCGGTGTCGTCTGATGATCGAAAAACCCACTCGAGGGCTTTGGGCCTTTGAAACCCCGGCGCATCGCTACGAAGGTGTCTGACACGCGACTAACGCTCTGAAACAGCACCGTCTGTTTTTGGCCGTCGTTTCTGTAGGACAGGTGCTCTGAAGCAGTTTCGTGTTTGGCTTGTGGTAATGATGTACCGCTGCCCAGCCGCTTGCCCATGGCGCCGGCTCAGTTGGGCTTGCTCAGGGGTCTTCCGTCCAGAAATTTTACGAGGGGCTTGTTATGTCCTTAAATCTCTTGAAGCTTCACACGTTCTGCCCGTCTGAGATCCTGGTACTGGCACCACAGACTTGCAGAAGCATGCAGCTCTGCAGCTGTCACTTTATGTACAGAAGCATGCAAGCGAGGACACCGACTGTGGTTGAAATGGGCATCTCAACATCCATGTGGTGCTGAAGCGGTTGCTGCACACACGGAGCTGCTTCAGGCTGCAACTTGCACCTCCCGGAGCGATCCAGCAGCAATGCTGGACGTGTGGCCTTGCACTGCTCTCAGCAAAAGGTCCACGTTGCAAGCATAGTTCCGAGTTTACCGCCATCAAGATCCGCGCGTCATCAGTCACACTTTGCAGAGTTGTCAGAGTTCTCTGTGCAGAACATAAAGCTTTTCTGTGTTAGCCAACGAGGTGAAATTTCGCAAGAAGGCATCAAATCAAGAGCTTTCTGCAAGGTGCACTTCCTAAACCACTCCACCGCCCTTGCAAACTAACTCGGACAGATGCAAACAAGAGTCGAGTGACCTCGAAGGCTGCACAGAATCGCTCGACCCACGTGACGGGGATGGTACGATGATCGCATGTCACATTCTACATGTTAGTGTGGCAGATTCGGCCTCACAGCCGCATTTGATGGTTCCTTTCCGCTTGGCGAACATTCCTCAGACACTTGGTTTCGAAATTCGGAGCGCTTTCATATTGCGCCGGGCATCGTTGAATTGCAGAGCATCGCGCCTCAAGTAATGCACGTGGTAACGGCAGACATTTTCCACAACCTGACCAAGGCTGATAATAAGGCATGCCCACTGGCCGCTCTCCTGCATGCAGGATGCACTCGACTACACATATCGAAACAGGATGCGCGCATCGACAGCTGCACAGACCGTCAGGTCAGTGGACAGCAGAAAAAAAACCGGAAACTTTCAATGTATCTCCAAGCTCATAGCAAAAAGAAGAGTCCTGCATGCATATGCTGTTCTTGGCTTGTCCTCCAAGGTGGCTCGCTTCTCACTGTGCGCTTGTTTACGGTCTATCCCCAGACGGTGCCAATATCCTTCGAGCTTCCTGGCTGTACTTTGGTTGTGGCTTGTGCTCCTGGCTGCTTTTTGGTCATGTCTTGTGTTGGCTTATCTGCCACGGCCTGAGGAACGCCTGGCTTGCCGAGATGTGGTCACCCGGGGCCAGAGCCTGTTCTGGGCATCTACAAGCACAGAAAGGTCGGGATGGCTTCGCCACTTGCGTGCTGAGGTTGGCGATCAAACACTGTCGAGTGCTCATCTGCTGCCCACATGTCTGTGTGTTCAGGCTTTGTCTCTCACTCCCTGTAACCTTCTGGAGTTGGTGCCGATGGCGGGTAGGTCCGGCAAGCTGCTGACAACCGCTGATAGAAGGAAGCATGGACCCGAACCCAAACCCCGTTGCACTGCCCTGAGTAAAAAGGAGCGGGCGCAGCAAGCTAAACGTTCCTGCTGTTTTTGAAACTAAGATTTCAGATAGCTCACATGTCGGCATCAGTGTCGCTGTGCCGAGGCATACCGAGGCATGCAGACTTCACGTCATGCTTGGGAGGAGTTCGATCACTGTTCAGACGAGGGAAGCGAGCAGGTGAAACAACTGCTTGGCCAGGCAGTTTAGCGCAGAGTTAGTTGCTTGCGGCTGTGTTTCATATTGCTTCTTCTATTCTAGACCTTACACAGAACTGTCGCAACTGTCGCGGTGCGGATTTGCCACCTGTTTGATCTTTGATATGAAACGATGAGTTGAAAGTATTCTATACTCTATACTTTTCATCTTGATTTCGTGATTTCGAACTGGTTCTTAAGATTTTGAGTTACTGGTATTGAGTTTTTCAAGCGAAAATTGTTCTTCAGAAGCTCTGTAGACTAATTATCTAGCGGTTGTCAACTTTCGAGGTCTAGTTTTGTATACATTTTTCTTTCCGGTATCAGCAAGCAGTTTGGGACGGCCCAGGTTTCGCTGCAGGAGGGCTTGAGCTACAGCTTTTGGTTTGTACTGCGCTCGCCTGCGAGCTGTAGCTAGCTGGGCGATTTGCCAATGACCACGAGGTTGGCTCAGAAACGAAGGTTCAAAAGATTCCGTTCCGTGCCGTGAAACTTCTTGTGGTCCAACACCCCTTGAAGACAGTTTGAAGACAGGAAGAGAAAGGGCAGCAGTCGGAAAAGGTTGCTCGGACAGTCATCCTAAGGCATCAAAACACAACGCATTAAGAGCATGTCTTGCAAAACCCAAACAGAGCTGTTTCGCCTTTATGCAGATTGTTCGCATGGCGGAGGGAGGAAAGGTTCAGTTCGGCTTAGCACCATTTCTGAGGCCTACAAGTGCGGGCATCTACCAGGGGCGACTTGGCTGAAACGGGCATGACAGGGGACGTATGCACGCTGAAGAGCACTGAGTTGGGTAGCCAAGGTGGCAGTTTGAGACGGTCTGGATCTTGGTTTTGCAGTGTTTGGGATTTCAACAACTCGCTTGTTTGTGGGATGGGGATGCAAAGACCCGCGCGGATCACGTGTCTCGTGCTGGTGGTCAGCTTTCTCTTGAAAGCAAGCAGTGCTGAGGCGATGCAGGATCCTCGCGTTGTTTTGGGAACCGGCCCCACTCGAGCTGGCGCTGTTGGCGGCGCTTGGTGCCCAGATCTGCAGTTCTAGAGCAGACGGCAGTTTTTGCAGAGATCGAGGTGCTCCAAATTGCCTTCGTGCCAGCAAACGCAGTTGGACACTCAAGCAAAGCTTCTTTTAAGCGGTCGTGGGCTTTTTGCCCGAGAGTTGATCCATCGCAGCATTATTTCGAGACCCAGAATGCTCCTGACCCAGAAGACGGAGGCAGTCATTGCCCTTCATAGAGCAGGTTTGTGGGCATCAGATTATCCGAGCGATTGTTGTGGGCTTGTCGCGAGTTAGAGATGAGAGTTGCCACCCTTCCTCTTGCTTGGCAACCGCGATAGAGTCAGGAGGGTGCTACAGCTGCTAGCTGCTAGATGGCATCATTTTTGTTGTTGAAACACGAGAGCTAGTGTAAGCTTGCTGCAGCTGGGGCGGCCACATGCACAAAGGCCAGTAAGCTGATCCTGACAGCGGTGAGTCCCAGTGGTTGGGACTTTCAGGCAGGTAGTTCGGACAAGAACGAGTTGATACGGATCAGCTGGATGTTGGTCTTATGCAGGGCGTGGACGTCTGTGAAAGTGTTAGCGAGGCGGGGTGCCCGTCATCCGCCCGAAACCCCGTCGTCCCCGGCCGTGGGGAAGAACCGAAGGCGGTGGTCTGTGTGAGGGCATCGGCATCGGCGCAGTCGCCGAATGCCAGAGGCCCAGCGAGGCCCAGCGAGGCCCAGCTCGACTGTCGTGGCACCCGTGGGCCTATAGTCTGAGGTGCTGATACTGGACGATATCTCCATCAAGGCGCCTTCCACTCCTGAGTGGGCCTGCACAGCTTAGCTTGGATGTGATTGTTTTCAGCAAATGTTGGCATGAGTTGTGCTTCTTTGAAGTTGATTGCGCCATGCCGGTCAGCCTGGTGAGCCCTATGTCACGTGTCGAAGCTTAGCTCGGGATGTGGAACCCAGGGAGCGAGAAAACACCGAAGCATCCAACATCTGATTGAGGAGGTGAGCATGTCCTGAGCCATCCAGTCTCTCAAGTCACCAAGCAATGCAATGATGAAGTACAGCATGCTTCTGCTGTAAGCAAGGCAGAGAGCACACACCGCATTCGCTCCAACACGTCATGATGCAATGGGCGTTCGATAGTTCCCCGAGTTTAGTAAAAAGCAGCAAGGACATGCGTCCAAAACGGCAAAGCATCTGCCTGGAAGGCACAGATCCTTTTCCAGAGAGAGCTCCGGAACGCCCGGACCTTAAGCCTTCATTGGTATCCGGCCGTGTGGAGGCGGCATCGTCTTGCACGAGTTGTAGTGTCGTGAAGTGCATGAGCATAGCTACTAGTTCGACAGCGCTAGAGCTGCTTCCAGCATGGTGCCGTCAACGACGTTTTGCTACCGGGAAACTCCAGCATGGCGCATGCTAGCGGTTTCGCATGAGAACTCTTTCGCATCACCACACTATCTGCGTGGCCTGCACATGCCGATAGTTCGTGTGAAGCTGTGCAGAGGCACATTGTTGCCTTTGCTGTTTCTAGTTCTAGTGGGTCAGAGACGGCGGTTCTGGCAAGTAAGCGCAGCGCAGCTACCAGATCCTTGCGTTGCAAGCGTGCTAGCACCCGCAAGTGCTCGACCAACTACTCGGTCAGCCAGCCAGCCAGCCAGCCAGCCAGCCAGCCAGCCAGTCAGTCAGTCAGTCAGCCAGTCACTCACTCACTCACTCACTCACTCACTCACTCACTCACTCACTCACTCACTCACTCACGCAGTGAGTCAGTAAGTCAGTGAGTCAGCCAGAGGCAGCAGTCAGTCAGTCAGTCGGTCAATTAATCAACCAATCAATGAATGAATCAAGTGCTGCCCTCTTGTCGCGAGATTTTTGGGACCTCTGTCAGGTAAGGCTAGCCAGCGGCCGTGACCTCGGACCTCTGTGTTCGACGTATTCGTGTGGGGTGAGGTGGCTGGCATGTTGACATTGGTCTGCTGAGGTGGAGGAATCGCCGAATTCGAGCTTGCAACCTTTGCCCTTGGACAGATGGGAAACGAGGTCCCCTTATATTGTTTGGACTACTGTAGGCTGTTTGTTTCTTTGTTCTGCTTGCACATCTGAGGTCGCTGCAGACTCCAGTGGTTCCTTGGTGAGTTCCCCAGTCCAGTCCCGCGAAGGGAACGACCGAAGTCTGAGCGGAGACCGGAGTGAGATCTGTTCTCTGTGCCTTCCAGGCCACGTGGCGACTTCCAGGAGCCCTGGAGGCACACGCCGAACTGTGTGCCGCAGGGACAGGGCTCCACATTGCTCCGCATTGCGAGCCTGGAGGTGAGCTCGCTGCAGCTCGGAACCTACCGGAGTATCGTGCATCCAGCCCGTCTTTGCGCTTTGCGAACGGTCGGTTGTTATGCACACAACCCCAGAGAGTAAATGTTCGCATGCACAAGACCTGCAGCAAACGGGACGAGACAAATTGGTCCGGTCGTCATGCAGCGCATGCACACCAAGTATTTAGAGCATTGTGCGTACCAGCGTGTTTGGGTCACAGATCGTACGCCAACACAGCGTCGACGATCATCCCAGAACGGGGTCCGGATCAAACCCCAACACAAGACCCGCCGAAAGGAAAGCCGAAGCCCAAAAACAACACCGAAAAACCACCAAAACCTGGCCTGGGCCACAGCGGCTGGGTTAGGGGGTTCGCAAGTTTCGGGTTTTGGGTTTGGGGGTTCGGGGGTTTAGGGGTTTTGAGTTTCGGGGTTTGGGGGTGTTGGGTTTCGAGGTTTAAGTTTAAGGGTTCAGGATTTTGAGGTTTTAGGGTTCAGGGGTTTAGGGTTTAGGGGTTCAAGGGTTCAGGGGTTTAGGGTTTAGGGTTTGGCGGCAGGGCTGGGATGGTTGGGATGGTTGGATGGCTGGGATGCTTGGGATGATTGGGATGGCTGGGCATCGGCGGTTGGGATGCTTAGGATGGACGCTCCACATGGTGGAGCGCCTGGGATGGTTGGGATGGGTGGGCTCAGCGGTTGGGATGGTTCGGATTCCAAAGCTCCGTTTGGCAGGGTTCGGGGTCTGCGCTCCGTATGGCGGTGGTTGGAGTCGGGATGGTTAGGGTCGGCTGTTGGGATGGCTGGGATGGTTGGGATGGTTCGGGGTCTGGTGGGGTGGTTGGGTGGTCGGTTCAGGGGTGGGGAGGGACCACGCGAGCCCACTGCATCAGTGTTTGATCCGCAACCCCTTCCGCTTCCTGATCCGATTTTTTCCGAAATGTAATCCCAGATCACGCCCTGCCTCCTCATCTGACCTCTGTGCGCTGATAGGTGCCGCAGCCAAGTATCCAACACGCGGGCCTGCACACAAGCCCCGACAGATACCAATGCCCAGCCACGAAACAGGTCGGGATGTTCACCTTGTTTTCACACGGCTCGGCGAACGAGTGACTTTTCTCCGGCTGCTTGCCCACGAAGTCAAGGTTCATGGGCAGGCGGTCAAGCGGCCCACCATGGCCCACCGTGCTGGCCTAGTCAATGAAGTCCCATGCGGCAACATGCAACGCAGAAGTCTTGATTTTGGATGTGTGCGCTTCAATATCGCGGTCGTGCAGCATCATTCTACGTGTGCTTAAGCGTGCTTTGTGCGCGTCGTCGCCGGTCTACTTGTAGGCGAGCCGAAACCTCCGGCCTGCCGAAGCCTAACTTCCTTGCAATTTCGATTTCTGCCAGGTCCGAGACACGGGCGACACGATCTTCCAACAGCTCCCTCCAAGACTACTTTTGCGTGAGACGGTGCTTGCCTGAGGCCATTCTGAGCCCAGAACGGCATTTGTTCTTTGACCAGGTCTTGATCATCCATTTCAGTGTGACGCAGGCAAGGAACCGGAGAGTGGCGGATAACCGGAGAGTGGCGGATAGTAATTGAAAACATATGCTGAATGCTGCTCAAATCCGATCAGACTTTGTTTTTGCAGAGCTGCAGACACACCAAGCTACATCGAAACCTGTGCAGCTGGTCTGCTGTCGAGGCGTGTTTTTCAGGAGACATACTGTCTCTGGAAGACCCCACAGGAACCTTTGAGATGTTTCAGGACTCCCACGCCGCCATAGCAGCAGCAGTAGTGAAGCTGGCAAATCTGCGACATTTTGCAACCTGTCACTCCCAGGAGAATGCCACGATCAAGCAGGTCGGCAATGGATTCATGCTGCTGGCTCAGTCTTAGTTTCCAAATTGGTGGTGCTCCCGGCCGCCACGAGTGCACTCCGATGTTCATTTTCCCTTGCACAGTGCATTCGCCCTCGCCGCAACCCTCAACACATGCACAAAGCTGATACGACACTGTTTTGATCAGATCAGCCTTTGAGCAATTGACTAGAGGATCTCTTTCCGCTCGCCAGCCTGGGAGGGCCATGGAGCAGCTTCACCGTTTTGCTGCACGTGTCGTGGACGCCAGGAACAGAACGCAGTCGCAAAAGCAGTAGCTGTTGATGTTATCATCTTTTCCTTTTACTGGCCTTTTTCTTTGCTCTCGTCATGCAGTGCTTTGGACGAAAGGAGTGCGCAGCCGTTGGTGGACAATGCTTGCGCATCCCGCGCAAACAGGGATAGCTGGACCTACAGCACCCGGGCAAAAGCACCTCATGCAATCTAGACGTGGCATTTCTTGGCACCAACGGCTGACCAATCGGTGCAAGTAAAGTCTCAAGCGTGACGCTCCAGGCGTTTTCTGCAGGGAGGTCTGCGTGGCTGAGTCGGAAGATCCAGATGCAACCTGCGTCCCATCGATTGACTGGCCGCTCTATGTGACGCTCAAAGAGGCCATGGCCGTTCGGGTTTAGTTGGACATCTCGAGACTTTTTGCTTGCCCTGGCGATTTTTGGCATGCACCTGCAGCCTGCAGGCAAGAGCAGAGGACCTACTGCAAACGAACCCAAATGCTGTCATAACGTCATATTCCGAGTGGCGCTCTAAGTTCAATGAAGGACAGCATCTTGCTAGCAGTGCTACGTCGTCGGGGTGCTCTTGCTCTGACTCACCGTTCGTTGCCCCGGGCCCAGGTACTTGACTCTGCTCTTTTACCACGCCTTCCTCCTCCTGGAAGTCGAAGGCCGTTGCGGGACTCGCGCTCGTCCGCCCTCTCCTCTGCCGTGTCGCTGTTCGCTTCTCCGCGAGGCGGCCTCGGGATTTGGACGGAGAAGTACAACGACAAGTTGGAGCTCATGTATGGCGAGCTCGAGACGCTCCGTGCTTTCGGGCAAGGCCATCGTGCCACAGGCCGGCGGAGGCAAAGCTTCCATTGCATCCTCGGACTATCTTGGACTCCGTCACTCAGCTTCGCTCAGGCGAGCTACGAAAGCCAAGCTTGCAGCATTCTCAAGTCGAGCTTGATGCTTGCGTGACGCTGCAAGACCTGGTCGACTGGATCTGCGGCCCTTTAGCTATTGTCTGGCGCCCTTATTGCTTGATCAACAGCACCATGGACCAAAACATACGTATAGAGGGCAGACCTGCAATCGAGGGTAGCTGACACATGCGGATCTTGAAGGCAACTGCCAACACTACGCCCGAGACTTGATTCAGTTCCTTCATGACAAGCGACTCGCCGAGAACTTGAAATCCGATCGCGAGGCCTGAGCTGGAATTGGAGTGTAGCTTTCTCAGCCGTGGTTCTTGTTTTGCAGGTGGTACTGTCTGCAGTTCAGTCAGAAGGTTGCCGGCTGCAGTATGCGACTGAGAGGCTTAAGGAGCTCATATGATGCAGTGCAAAGACTGCAGTGTTGGCCGATGATGTCAGAAGCGCAACTTGCGAGGATGATCGTGCGCTTGTCCTTGCTGCTGTCTCTTCAGATGGAGCTGCTCTCGCTTTCGCTTCCAAGCGACTGCACCTTGGCATGTGCTGCAGAAAGCAGACTCGACCCTGTTTTAAGATGTTTTGATTGAGAATTCACGCGAGGAGATGTGACAAGGGACTGGCTTTGGCAGCGGTGACAAACTGTGGGACTGCCTTGCAGTTCTGCGCAGCTTTTCTCCATGAAGATGAAGACGTCGTTGGCTCCTAAGTTTTCGCTATGCCATGCCAGTTACTTAAGCGAATGGTCGTGATCCTGCCGTTGCCCGCAGCAAACCGAGGTCTTCGCGGCGGTTGGCCAAGACGCCACAGCGTTGCGATTTGCACCCCACTTTCAATGGTGCGTGATTTGCTGTACACCATTGCCAGCCTTAAGTTTGAGAGCATCCAGCCTCCGGATTGTCTCAGTCCCTCAGACACTCGACATTAATGGATTCGTAGACATCCTCTGCATGACCGAGGCATCTACTGAGATGAAATGCAATCCCTTTGTTATCACTGCAGCTGCAACAGACCTGTCCGGTGACATCGACTGGTCTCGCATCTTTACCTGTCCCTTGGTACAGACTGCTGTCCGTGTGTATGTCAATGTTTGAATGCAGTGTTTGCAATGCTTCGGACTGTGCTGATCCAAAGGTGCGGCGCTTACAGAAGATGTCGATGTGGCTGCAACTGCAATTGGACCGGAACCAAGCGTGCGAGCGACCCAGGAAACCAGGGCTGGATGCATGTATGCTTTCTTCAGGATTGGACTGGCGAGCTGGTGAATACGTATCAGACGGTCTCCGCTCCGACACCCAGTTCGTGAAGCGTGCCGTGCTCTGGACTGCCTTTCTGTGAGCAGGGGTTAGATACACCGGTTACTTCCGTCGGTACACTTCGACGTCATGCCGAGGGCAGCATCGGTCCACAATGCTGCAGGCAACAAAGACAGCTGTGGATAAGCCGTAATGCAGATTGGAGCAGTGTATTTGCAAGAATCGTGACTGTTGCTTATGTGTTTTTTATGGTCATCAGTCGATCGTTCCCATCTTTGATATATACGTGACAGCAGTTGGCGAAGCCATAAACCGCATGTGTTCGTTTTGCACGTGCATAAATGTTACCTCTGGCAGTGTCTGTGTTGGGCTTGCCGAATCAGCAACGTAGATCCATGCAGGTGCTTCTCAACGGTCTGGTGCTACAGCTCGTGCCAGAGAATGTCCGGCAGCATGCAACAGTGCTCCGTGCCGTGCACCAGAACGGCCTCGCGCTCCAGCCACAGCCCCGGCCGATCAGAAAGGCGATGTGCGCTTCCAAGCGGGGCTCGGAGTCCAGCAACATCAGGGTTCCAGTAACATCTGGATTCCAGGCTAGCACAGATTCTAAAACATCTGCTGGTTCGCACTATTGACTCGTCATCAAGGATTCCCTTTTCAGAAGTTGGTGGGATCGGACGTACATACACAAGGATTGTTGTTGAAGGTGCAGGAGGGGAAAGATCAACGGCGGAGCTTTACCCTGAAACATTGGTCAGCCGCTGTTCGTGAGAGCCAAACGATGGCCGGATGGCCTCGGCAACGGTGGTGCGGACAGCTGGATGTAGACTGCGTTGTAAGGTTCGCTGGTGAAGAGCTTCGTGCTGATCAACGAGTGGTTCGTGAGGCCATTGCGCAAAACGCAATGGCCCTGCAATTTGCCTCCGAGGCATGCAAAGCTGCACATCTTTCACGACTCAGTGCACTTGAGTTGTTACTGAGATGTAAAGAGTGAAGTGAGTAGAGGCTTTGCTCCCCAACAAGTGTGGTAGCACTCCGGCTCTTACCTTTACGGTTTCTTGCGAAAGGCCCGTGCCCACCGAGTTTGCCGCAAACTTCGAATTCATTTTACAGCCAATGCTTTGGTGAATCTTGCCCTTCAAAAACGCTCGAATTGTCTACAGTCCTGGCAGTGCCTGGCAGCGCCCCACTCTCGACTTCTCCTTGTTCAGGGTTTTGCCCCCAAAAACGTTATGCGGCCTCTCTGGATCGTTCGTGTGGTCTCCCAACGCCTAGTGGGTCGGGGTGGCGTTGTCCAAATCTTCAGCCTCTCGGGCGCTGCACGTTGGTTCGTGCTGCCTTGCGGTTGTGTTGTAAGGATGTGTGGTCTTGCTTTTGGTGGTTTTCTCTGTGTCTTTCCAATCTTGAGCTGTGCTTGTCGGTTGCAGGTGCTGCGAGCCCGGCGGGAGGTGGTTCTCATGGCTGTAGTCAGGAATGGGCACGCCCTGCAGCCCCCTGGCTCAGAAGGGAAGGGGCTCAAGCAGGCTCGCAAGCAGGGTTTCGCTAAACACTGACTTTCGCTTCTGCGAGGTTTGCTTCTGAAGACTTGCAGCAGGACCGATCCGCCAGCACAGGGTCATTGCACTTCGGCAAGCGCAACCATCCTTTGTTCGAAGTGGGCTCGTTCCAGGCAGAAGAACCATTCTTTCCCGACCTTTACTCAACAGCCTGAATCTGTAAGACACTTCGGCTGCGTGTCTTGGGCATTGGGGGGAGTGACCTGATGCACGAAGGAGGAGACAGCACTGAAGGAAGCTTACCAGATCGCATCAATCGAGCCCCCCCCAAGAGGTGGAATTCCTCCAGTAGGGTAGCGGTACGGGTTCTTCCTTTCAGCATGAAGAGATAAGGTTGCTGTCCTCGCGAAGCGCGAGCGGCATGCGTGGTTTGCGGTTTGCGTTTACACGATTGTGCCGTTTTCCACCAACGTCGCGGCCTTTGCACATGCCCGCGTCCCGCTAGACAGAGTTTTCACCACAGCAGCGCTGATTTTGGCCTAACGCCCTGGAATGGCCACACTATTCACCTGAAAGCCAATGAAGCCAGAACTTAATGGTTCGGCAATTAACTCCAGTGTAAATGGGATTTGTCCAACAAATATCTAAATCGGCGATTTGATCTAATTGTCTGGACATACTAGCAGAATCTCCTTACAGGCCTGTGCAAATTCGCTACCTCATACCCGTTGATCTATTGGGATGGCTGGGCGTCCGTATTGGTAAACACCAGCAATGCATTTGGCCACTATCAGGTTCGAAGTGAAGCTTCTCGATTGATCTGGCTTAGGGGTAGCAAGCTCCGAACATTCCATGCGGATATTCTTCAGTTCACCGTCCAGCTAGAGTAAGCATCAGTTGGCGTCCAAGATTATGTTGATTATTGAACACTGAACAAGGCTGTGCTGTTCTACTTACTTACGACTACGTATTCAGAGCAGATTTGGATGGAATGGGGGCATGTCACTCGACACAATTAAGTCTTGATTTAACCGGCGACGTTGGGAGCCATGTCCAAACATGTAGTGACGATCGCTCGACTGATTCAGCTAGAGTTCGAGTAAGCATCAGTTGTTTGTGAGTGAGCCAGTCCAGTCCAGTCTCGTCTCGTCTAGTCTTGTCTAGACATAAAATCCTGGCTGTAGTTGTTGTTCGGCTTGGGGGTGCCCTAGGAGAAACATGTAAATGGTGATTTAACTGTGCATGGAGCAGAGCGTTGGGCAGCTTTCGAGGGCCAATTAGATCAAACGTTAATTGCGGTGGGCCTAAGGGGTTCAAGACGGCCCGATGCCGGCAATTAGCTCCAGAGCTAAGTTTCTTTGACTCTTGGATTCAGTGCCCACCCTGTTCACCTCCTTAAAGCTTGTTAACAGTTACGGCGCCCGTACGCGCCTATGGGTTTGTAGGCATTACATGATGAGGATATGTAGAGGCATGTGTGCGAAACCCAAGCGAGAGGCACTTTCAGGAAAATTCGCAGGCAGGGCAGGTGCGCGAACCACTAGAGGCTGAAGTTAACTCGGGGACTAACTGCGTTTTCGCCTGGGTTTCGAGCTCGTTTTCGGGGAGGGTCCAGGTTTTTCGCAGTCATTCCTGAAGTGAAACACGGAGATCCTGAGGGTGAGGGTTTAGGCGCAGCGTGTGGCGAAGAGTTCCTGTCCCAGAGGCCTTGAACCGCGAAATCTGCTGCATCAAATCCTAAACATGGAAATCCTGAGCGCGAAGGGTGTATAGTGGGGTGCAGTGTTTAGGCAAGAGTTCCGTTGCGGCGCGTTGATGAGATGTTCTGAGAAAACAAGGGGAGACAAGGGAACTGCAACGTCTTGACCGGAAATCGAAACATGTGCCGTCATCTTCCCCCCCCCCCCACCACCTGCCCCAAACCCGGAAAAGCCCAGTAATCAAAAACCATCGGTGAGTAGAGGCGCCGTCACCTTGTTGATGTGGTCTCGAAATCCCGTTGTTCTAGAGACCACAGTAGCCCTTTCTGTTGTTCTAAGGGGTTCGGGAGTTTCGCGAAATCGGTTGAGTCGTGCTTCCCGCCTCGTGTTTGCGACTCCCAAAGCCGCGCTCCAGCCCCGCGCACAATTGACCACAGTACGGGCCATGTTCTGGCCTGCCTAGATACGCCTTCGTTGTATGGGATCTACGTTGGCAGAATTGTAGGGTTCGGAGGCTGTTGATGTCGGCGGCGGTCTTGACGTGTCTATGCTACATGCAGCAGGACCACACCCTTGTGCTCACAGCAGCTCGTGGCTTGACCGCACAGGTTGTGATGGAAGCTTTCAGGGTGGCAAGTTTGACATGACTGTGTTCATTGCTGCTAGGGCGTTTCCTCTTCGCTGACTGGAGCTGGTTCTTTCAAGACAAGGTGCCATCTGAACTGCCGGGATAAGCCACTTCGTGTCCCAAAGAAGCCAGGAGGCACAAGTCACTGACAGGCCATCAAGGATCAGCGCAACATTGCCATGGCTGCCGTCAGCATGGATGCCTCTGCTTTGCCACACACCGGACAGCAAGCTGACGAGGAGGTCAGACTCGCGACATGGAAGAGGTGCAAAAGTTCTCAGATTCTTCTGGCAATCGCCAGGTGGTTATGGCAGCGCTTCAGCAGGACGGCCAGATGCTGGAGTTTGCAAGCGAGGATCTGCAGGCCGCTGCGAAAAAGGTTCAGTTTCGCTTGCACACTGTCAGGCGCTATGCTTCTAACCTGATTCTCTGGAGAAACGAAGAACCAGCAATGCTCATGGTGCTCGGTATGGGGGTGTGGTCATGTTTCAACAGGGTACTGTCCGACTGTCCGTGTACTTCTTATTGCTATTCTGGCTATCATTGAACGTTCGTACTAGTACTCTTGTTGCATAGGCTGTTCTCGCTGCCCCACTTTGACAGCATCTGCGCCACTTCAGCTTTCGTCGCCCCCGTGGCCGAAGTGTCACCACCATTTCTGGCACAGCATATATGATGGTGTTCCATCAGTGCCTAAACCTCTGTCGCCCTAGCTGGCTTGAGCAAATCTGGACAATTGAGTATACTTTCTGGAAGTACTTGTAGGTCCGCAAAAATAGCTCTGACATACCTTCATTCGGCAGTGCAGCTGCTCGAGAGCACAGCTGCAGGCGGACCCGAGTGTCGTGCTGGTGGCAGTAGCTTCGGACGGCACTGCGCTCCGCTTCGCTTCCAACGCGCTGCGGGGCTGTCGCAAGGCGTGGCGTCATGTGGCGTCTGGAGATGCCATGCTGGAGCTGTGGGACACAAGGGACGGCAGAGCCTTTTCCAGGTCGTTTCGGTGGCCGTTCGGCAGAATGGTCTCGCGCTGCAATTTGCAGAGCATGGCCTGCGGTGTGATTCCGAGCTCCTGAGACTTGCTGCCCGGAGGCCAGGATGGTGGTTATGTGGGACACTGTAGGACTAAGCAAGAGTTCATGGAGCACTCGGGTCATTCGAGAGGGATGCATGCGTCGAAACGTGGGAGTATGTCAGGTGGTGGTCCTGGGACTGGAGCTACTTGTTCGCCGCCGCGACCTCGGTGTCATAAGCTTGTATAACCTTTGCCTCGCATCAATCTATGGGTGGATGGCCCCCAAAGCGCTACAAGGCATCTGTGACGCAGACAGAGTTTCTGAATAAGGTCAGTTGGCCCACCGTGTTAAAATGGAACAGCTGTGCGCATACGTACTTGTGCTTCTCGATTCCTTGCCGTTCTCATCCGTTTTTTTCCTTTCTGTTTGCGGCACGGGCCGACGTGTCAAACTCACCAGGCCACAAGGCATCAAGGCCGGGGTGGCCTGTCGTTTCTGAGGCTAGCAATCTGCAGAATGACCGAGATGTGGTCCTCGAAGCAGTCCGCATCGATTGGCGCGCTTTGCAGAGCCGGGGCCACGGCTGCTGCTGGGCGTTGCGTTTGCGGACCGGATTGGTCCCATCTTCAGGTGTTGGAGAGAAGATGCAGAAAGACGTCCAGGCTAGAAAACTCGACTCAGCTAGGGATTCTGCATCTTGATAAAGGCTATCCCTGGGCTTGAGACAGGTGGTTTCTGCTGCCTTGGCGCAAAACCTGGGTGCTTCGCGCTTTATATCCCGTTCGCTGCTCGAGAGTCGGACAGAGATGCTGGAGCTGCTCGCATGCAGAGGCACGGCGTGCCTTCGAGCGTCTGAGATCTGAGAAGAAACCCCGGACGGCTTGCGGACCAGGTGCGGCATTGCAGTTTGCCCCAGAGGCCTTTAGAGCAGATCGCGAATTAGCAGCTTGCCGCAAGCATCCACAAACGGCTATCTGCCGTGCAGAACCAGAGGTTTGCCGCGTCCCAAGGTCCAAGCTGCCGTCGCGCAGGATGGCAGCGCGTTGCAATTCGCCTCCGAGGAGCTTCGCCGAGATAGTGGCTTGGTTCGGACAGGCGAGAATGAGAATTAAGTCAGGGAAGTGTGCAGATTTCCGCTGTGGTGACAAACTTGCTCCGCCTTGCCGGGATGATGCGGAGAGTGTGTGTGTGTGTGTTGGTTAGTCAGTCAGTCCGTCGGTTGGTTGTTGGTTGGCCAGTTAGTGAGTTAGTTAGTTAGTGAGTTAGCTAGTTAGCTAGTGAGTTAGCTAACCCTGCGCTTAAGGGGAGGATATTGAGACTGATCATCCCAGCATGCCTGCAGTTTTAACATGCTGGAGCTGATTCGGGTAAAGGCCTGAGGCAAGCCCCGGACCTCATACAAGTGCATTTTCTTTGTATGGCAAGAGGCTAAACCCCACCTGGTGAATTACCGGCGACACCAACTGTGTCAAGTGTGCGCGTGTGTGTATATACACACATACATGCGTCCGTCTGTCTGTCTGCCTGCCTGCCTGCCTGCCTGCCTGCCTGGCTGGCTGTGGCTGGCTGGCTGGCTGGCTGTCTGTCAGTCTGTCGTCGTGCTCGGCGTGTTTGGGAACTTGCCATGGGTCTCATGAGGGAGCTGCAGTGCAGGCTGTGGATCAGTGGCCCAGGATTGAAATTCGCTTCAGGCTTTTGTTTGTAGCTGTCGGAGGCAAGGGAGTGATCTCACGTGATCTCGGGCAAGAGCTTCCCTGCGCACGTAGCAGCGGGTGGGTGCGGTCGGTGTGCAGTGCATAATGCTGCGTTGGTACCAAGGTGATCTTCGCTGCCTCGCAGTTGCAGCTCCAAAACATCGTTTGTCAATCTTCAGCACCCCTTGTGCAAGCAGCATACTGTATCCTTTCGAACTTGTTTATGTTGCATCTGTGTATTGGGTTTTGCTTGCATTATCAGGCAGATTGAAGCTGGGTGGTTGAGCAGCCTATGGAGAAGCAACTCCTTCAGTCTGCCCTGCTGCGATCGTCGAACACGGCGCGTGAACTTCTCGGAGTCCAGCCACCATTTAACATCGCTGCAGCTTGCAGCTTCAGGAACCTGGAAGCAATCCACCTCAACACGGGAAAGAACAGAGGTGAAAGACGATGGGAGCTGGAAGATCCTGTCTTCGCCATCCCGCGAGGTCTTACCTGCAGACGCACCGGTGGCAGGATCAAGGGGGATGGGTGCCGCTTTCTGATCTGAAAGCATGGACGAACTTCCTGGCTACTTGGCACTGGCAGGCCGGCTCTGATTTGCTGATAGCCTTGGCACCCATCATAGAGGTCGGCGACAATTCGAACAAGCTATCGCACCAGCATGAAGTGAGCATCTGCAACAGCATCTTTTCTTGTAGACCTGTGCAACGAGAGACGGCAGAAGACCGAGTTCAGAAGGAGTGTGGTGGGATAACAAAGTGGCCACTGTGTGCCAAACAAAGTGCTTGCTGATATGAATTGTCTGTATGTGCATAACTTATGCGAGTGTGTGTACTTGTACTGCACATAGATATATGCCCCTGGGCATGTGTCAACGTAATAGGCTTCGAGCATTTCATTCCCAACGTCCTTGCTAGAGTCCATGCATGTGGGGCTGTTCAGGCAGAGCCCGGGCATTTACGTAGCAGGGTTCCCATCGGTCGACCACCTGGCCAAGGCTCGACTTTCCGTCCTCTGCATCAGCCAAGCCTCCCAACGCTTTGGAAATCACTGTTGCAAGGCTGCACTATGATGTCAGCAGCACATTCGCCAGACCATGCAATCTTCACATTGCTCGACCTGAGGTGGAAGACGTAATGGCGCCTGGTGACAGGGCCTTAGCTGCGTCGTTACGAGACTTGAGATCCTCGCGACTGAGAACATGCGTGCTGCTGAGACCGTGTTCTGTCTACAAATGAATGCGCGCCTTCGACGACAGCCACAAACTCAATGAGATAAACTGCTGCTGTACCATTGCAGCTCCGACTATTCTCAGTGTATCTGAGGATTGAGCAGCCATCAACAAATGAAGTGAGCAGGTGAGAACGGGTGTCCGTAGATTCAGCTTCGCGTCCCTGTAATATCTTGTTCAGTGGCGCCTTCGCGACGTGGTTTTGTGTAGGTTCGGTGCACATTCCAGCAGTCTCATAGCCGTGTGGAGCAAGTGCAGGAAGCTCTTCAACTTCCGTGCATTCCGTGATAGAGAGTTGCGGGCTCACAGCGGAGTGGATCTGTACGTGCTTTTACTGTACGCAGCGAGTATGCGCCAAGGTCCCTGCCGCTGAATACAAATGACGGACTGATTCTCACCAGTCTCTTAAGCCAGGCGCGGACGTCGTTTGCGAATTCCACGTCACAAACTGCAAGTGCGTGCAGGAAAGCTGGTCTTCCTCCTCTTTGCTCTTACCCTTTGACATGGCAGCACAGGTTGGAGTTGGGACCTTGAGTGCGTTCGGCAGTCCATATGTGAAAGGTCGTCGTCATCTCCTCGCCTAGGATCCTGCATGCCCCTTGTGTTCTGAGGCCCCAGGGACGCAGATACAGGCTCGGGATGCTCGGGACGCGACAGCTGCCAAGTGGTGAACAGCAAGCCTCTGACGTTGCAGGTCTCGGGAGATATCCAGGCACCTCTTGCGCAGTGCATGGATTGCGAAACCTGCAGTCCACATCCTGGCAGGTCGTAGACAATCTGTGGCTTTTGGCACCTGTTGGAGTAGCAACTCGTCCGGTAATTGGTATTGCAAGCTGTGTATTGACACTCCATCAATGCAACGCCCGTGAGAGACGGGTGGCAGATTCTCTGCACTGGGGGGTATGGGGTCGTGTCCAATTCACACGGGAATGCGGCAGTTCAGGTCATAGTCTCGCCATGTTCTCCAACACCGTGCAGCGACATCAGCCAGGTGATTCGACAAGAAGTGGCGATGCCGCATACCTGTCCTGTCAGCCAGGACTTCAACGGCACTGGTCGTCAAGCTGCTCTGCTGCTGCCAACCAGCGAGCGGTTCGGGCTTCGTGTGGAGCGCACCTCATTCCCTGTACTGTAGTGCTTCAGTTCAGAGCACCTCAATGTTTTGAATCGTGACGCGCAGGAGCTTCCTGCATCCTGGGACTCTGGACGCACGCTGCCCACATTTTCCAGTTCTTTTCAAGCGCTCGCCTAGCAAAAGCCGGACTGCACCAGGCAACGACTGGGTGGCAGTCGTTCCTGCACAGGAAAGGCTTGATGGCGTCAAGGCCGGACCGGCTTCGCTCTGGTGTACCAGTTGCTCCGAAGCAGTCAGGCGACCATGTGGGCCTCTGACAACAGCGTTTCGCTGCGTGCTATGCCCGCGAGCGTATCGAAACTTAACTGCAAGAAGCCGTGGTGCATTGCTGGCCGTTTATTAGTACAGGTCTTGCACACCTTCGGGGTAATCCTAAAGCACACATTGACGGGCAGTAACAAGAGGGTGTGTTTAAACACTTCGCGAGGGCAGGGTACCAGCGCGTTTTGCAGTCCGACGGGTCAGTACGCATGCGCACCCGGGAACCCTTTGCCTTCGGGTAAGAGACCCCTCTGACTTTTGGTCATAGCGCCGGCCAAGTTTCCATCGACCTGTCGCACAAACACACTACCACCAGCTAGCCACAGGTATCACCTACACACCAGGATTCGGCAGCTGCAATTTCAGCACGGGAAAGCAAGACCTGCTTCGAGTTGTTCGCTTCATTCTTTTTCCATCGCGGCGACTTTGCAGAGAATCCGAGGTATGCAGCTGTCGCGTTGACATTTTCGGTAGATCTTGCAGCTGCTCAGTCGCATTATGCACTCGCATGATTCAGCTTTGTCTGCGACTATGTTTCATCGGCTTAAGAGACGCTTCCTTCAAGGAAACGTTAGAGATGCAAAGTGTCCCTAGTTCGAAGCTGCTTCTGGTTCTTCGTCCACAGGTGACGAGCAGGCAAGCCGTGCACTGGTAAGTATCCCAAGTAAGCCACCGAGCAAGCAGAGACAACTCAATAGCATACTATGCCCAACCACCTCCATCATCATGGTTCATGTAGAGCAGTGAGCAAGCCACATAAGAAATGCCTGTCAATATGCCGCACATGAACCACATTTCCTTCGTCAATAACTTGGATCCAGCATCAACAACCTAGATCAAGCATCTCGTAATTGATTCAGACACAGCAGACTGTGGGAAAACGTAACTTGATTGAATGGGCTGAACTGCTCCAGTGGATTGACGCAGGTGTTTCAAAAAGCTACGCGACCCGCAGAAATGGGAGCGTGAAGCTGTTGAAGTTGCATTTACGGGTCTAAGGTAATGTTTAAAGGCCAGCCCAATTCTTGTTATTCATTCGCCGTAAACGGTTTGGACGGACGATTTAGCGAACCACGAGCTGCTGCATGAACCGCACAAGCAGGCCGGAGAACCGTTTGCCGCGTGCAATACTGTCACGTGTGGCTGCATGTCGTTGTTTCTCATATATTCGTACGGTATGACAATATTTCATGTTTGTTGCTGTCAGGTTTCGACAAGGTCAAGAGTCTTGTGAATCTGGTTTGCTGTTTTTCGATATGTCGTGACTGTAGCCAAATTCCGAATCATGCATCGTTTGATTGCTCTTGAAACTGTCAACTGTCAAAAGGACCGCACCCATTATCCTTGCATCTGCCGTCGAAAGTTAAAAAAACTGCCTCCTAGTTTGTGGTGGCGGCGCCATCTGCCGGATCTCTGAGGTGAGTCTTAGCCCGGGAGCTGCTGCTCTGGCCCTGTTGGGAAGCGCTTCCCAAAGCTACATCCAGGCTCTCTGACGGCATCTAACGACTCGCCTGTGTTGGTTTCTGTGCAGGTCCAGGCTCCTGTCGGCTACACGCTTCGCTGTGGCGGCGGCTTCCGCTCCTCGCTTCCGGACTCGGCCCGAGTGGACTGCCAGGCACAAGCGATGCGAAGCGAAGAGCGGAGCAGTTTTTTTCCCATCCCTTCAGGTGGGGCCTGGACCCGGCGAAGCTGTCCTTGGCATTTCAAACGTGGACCTGAATGCTGCCGGCACGCTCCACTTCAGCTTTGGCTTGGACACGCCTGCTGCAGATCCAAGCCCAAATTTGCGGCTCGTCTCAGACTTTGCTTGCTTGTAGCATAGCGGGCCTGTAGCACTGTGCAGGTTTAGCATTGCACTTCGAGACGCCAACAATGTGACCCTGGATGCTGCGATGGCTGTTCCAGGCGAGCCGCAGCCAAAGGCATAGGTAACAACGTAGGCACCATCTGTAGATGACATCCATGAGCCCTGATCAGGCATGCACATTCCACAAGCCCGAGTGGAAGCATTCGTTTCCTTGTTGGTGGTGGACTTTGAAAACGTTGCCCGACTCCAGGCGCATGAACGTGCAATGTGCTCTTACACGGGGGCTGTCCCCATCTTTCAATCGGGCAGGCATGGGGCGAGGCAGCGCAGGAGCTGGGTGTACTTCGTGGCAGCATAGCTGCTGCCCTGAATATCGGCGAAGAAGGCCTCGCCGGGAAGAGAGAAGGTTGCATGAGTGCTCTCTTAAAGTGCACAGCTTGACTCTTCCTGCAGAGGCGATGTTCTGTTTAAAAACAGTGCATGCTGATCCAGACTGTGACTTGTTCCCTGATGGATGCTCCCGAACTGTTGTGACATGCCATCACTCGTGCTTTTGAAAGTACTACAACCGTGCATGCACAGTACCACGAATCTTTAAAGGTCAATCTTGCGAGCTCCAGCGCTCTGCTGTCGCCAATCTGCCAGTTCAGAGCCCTGGTTTTGTTGCACGTACAGCACTGTCGTGTCACTCTCTGTGCTCGTAGTTTCGTTGGACACAGTTCCAGCGACATGCAGCGAATCCAAACATGCTAGAGTTTTTGATTGTTTGTTGTCGAATGGAAAGGATCGCGAAGGGGCATTGTCGATTATGTTAGCGGGATATCGAGCCAGGCGTTTCCGTGGACTACGTCCAGGCAGTGCTTGGCATCAGCGACGTGCGGAGATTGCAGAGCAGCGGCGTCGTGGCGGGCCAGCTGCAGGCTGGCTCCAGACTGTACGCCATTTCCGGAGTCGGCATGTGCAATTCCCAAATCTCCGTGGTCTTGCCTGCAGAAACAGGTGAACTTCTCTGCCTACTCCAACTTGGTGCAATTGGCAGAGCTGTCGGATCGCATCACCGTGGGAGGCAGAAACACTCGCCCAGAGCGGCCTGAATGGATTGAGAATTGATGTTTTTTCATCGCCAGTTTCACTCTTGCAGGCTTCGCGGCGGGACTTCAACGCGAGCTGGGTCCACGCGCCATCGCAGCCGGCACGGTGCCTAGCAGGGGCAGCGCTTCGAGGTTATGGAATGAAATCTCTGCTCAGGTCTCGTCGAGCTGCAGGCAATCTCTGCGTCGAGTGTGCTCGCGGCGGCTGCCTGTGCTTGTGCGTTTTTTCAGGTCACCGGTGCTTCCGTGCCTGCCACACCGGTTCCAAGCCAGCCTCCAAATGTCACCGCCGGCCGCCTACAGAATGACCGCGCTGAAGGCAGCTGCAAACGCATGTCTGCCAAGACCCCGACGCTGCGCTGGAGCAGCGCAGATGCAAACAGCACGGGCACCGTGCGCATCCCAATGACACGGCATGTGCTTCTAAAAGCATCAAGTCGATCCGCGGCTGAAGAGAGTGCAGACTTGCGGACTTGCAGGTGTCTGTGAACCTGATCTTCCAGAGGCCCACATCAGCCATTCGAATCTGAGCTGCAAGAGAGGCAGCAGACGCATCAGCTCTTCTCGCATGTGGCAGATCAACGATTTCAGCTTCCGGCTCCAAGCACAGACATGGACTCTTTTCCTCCATTTCAGATGCTAGTGACGAAACCGAACATGAAATCATGGAAGCACGCAGCTATCCCGTGCCACTCATGTCCATGTCACGGAGACCTGCCTGCCGATGGCAGCGCAGCCGCGGCAAGAAGTGCTTGTTTGTTGCGGCATTCGGGCTGCCTTTCGTTGTGGCTTGGCCTTGTGCACCGATGCCTTGTTGTCGATTCCTCCCCTGTACGGCTCATCTATCCCAGAGACAACAAGTCATGGAAAACTCAGGCAGGTTGCTTTGCCAGAATTCCTGCGAAAGAGCTGCGAGCTCGACCGGAGAAGGCCGAGGCACAGCAAGGGACCTCCAATGGAGTCCGAGACTAGGTCGGGGCTTCGAGCAGGAGTGCGACGCTGCAGAACTCTACACTCCACAGCCCCAAGTTGTGTACATCTTTCCGAAACCTTTCGGACAGGCTGTTGAAGCGGCCGCTCGACCTGAGGGACCAAGCTCTTCTGGAAAGACAAAGACAAGCTCACCTGAGGCCCTGGTCACTGCTCATGGGAGCACTAGCTTGATCCAGGAGGTTTGGTTTCTTCATGGCCCAAGGCAGAGGAAGTTGATGCCTGGACCTATGTCTTCGGGAAGCCAGGTGAGCTGAGGCTTGAAAAATCGGGCAGCCAATACTCTTGCTGTACGGCATGTTGATCCGCCAATGTGACACAGCGGCAGGCGAGATCTCAGCTTGGTGAACACGTCTCCAGAAAAGATTTTGGGAGCTGGGCTTCTTGCGGTTGTAAGCGCCTCAGCTCACTGCAACACGCTGTACTGGTGTGCTCGTTTTTGCGATCCGACTGACCTCACTACAATCCCGCTACTGGGCACACGCTGAGGCTATTGGCCTCGCGAGCAACCTCTGGGGGCAGACTGAGTTTCTCTTCAGCTGCTTGATGACACGATGTCAAGCTTCCATATTCGGCCACACTCATCATACTCCTACTAGTACATTGCTTGCAGCGCAACCGTCGCGAACCGTCTGGGCCAGCAGCCTTAAGGCGTCGTACCTGCAGCTGCTGAGAAGGCACGCGAGCTGCGGCTCGATTCCATCTATGCAGTCGATGGCCTGAAGGCCGTGTTGTTGTAGTTCTCTTGTTGTGTTCTTGTTTTCGCAGCTTTAGTATGACCGAGAAACAGTTGAAATCAAGCGCATGAGCTTTATGAGAGTCTGTGATCGGATGCGAATCAACTCTGCTGAATCCCGCCATAGCCCTCGTCTGGTGACCGCCGTCCCGAAGCTTTTGCGGGTTGCCACGTTTTGGCTCACAACTGACTGGTCGTCATGCAGCATCTCGAACAAAAGGTGCAACACACGACAAAGTCTTCTTCGTTCAAATGTGAACTTTGCTCGGTGATCAGACCCCGTCCCGTGACGTCTGATGACATGGTCTGTTGTGCAAAAGGTGCCATTGGCATCCCCACCGTGAAAGCGCGATTCGAGCACCGCGATTTAAGCACCAGCGATTCACGCTTCAAGCATCCGATCCACTCACTCGACTACCTTGTATCGAGGCCTCCCTGAAGCTTAGGGTTTAGGGTTTGTGGGTTGCAGGTTTAGGGTTGAAGGGTGTCGCGTTTGCAACGCTGTGCGCATGCCGAACGCTGATTTATTTCGGAAGCTCAGCGGTACTGTAAGTGGCCGTGTTGGACTGTACACTTACAGTAGCCTCTGAAGGGCTACACCACAGAGAGCGAACCAACCACTGGCGGTTCTTGCATGTTCTGGCTGTTCTCGTGAGTGGACCCGCTGCTACTGTGGACTGCAAGATTATGGCATCGATTGGAGGATCGATTAAGAAGTCAACAGGTCTCCCGCCCTGCGAAGCTTCCGTTCATCACTGCACTTGGGGCCTGGCAGGTGCAGGGTCAGCCAAAGATGAGGTCAGTTGCATGTCGCCTTCAAAAACCATGGACATTGGGTCACCTCCGGAGGTGTTTGTGCTAGCTGCTAGGTGCCACTGCAGCTTCTCCTCTGTGTTGCGCTTATCCTGTCCCATTTTGTGTACGTTGCTCGCTTTGACTGTCAGATGTCAGATGCAAGAAACTTAAAATTTTCTGCTAAATCTCCAAATCTCGGTGTTCTTAGTGCTGTGCCTAAAACGGTTGCAAAGTGTCTTGCGCATGGTTAAGCATTGAAGCGAGGTCTTACATACTTATATTGCCATAAGCTGGTCCTGGCCACATATCTGGGAGGCTTATTATGAGGAGCAGTACCAAGCCCGCTTCCCAAGCACATGGCTCTTCGATCAACGCGTGGCTCTGTTGAAAGCGGGCCAGATGAGCTCCGATGATATGCTGGGCCGCTTGGCTTTGCCTGTTCACTTCCCGACAGTCGAGATTCCGGATCTCTGGGTTTGCTTTCGAGGCATGTCGCGCCGCGCTCGGCCAGGAGCGGCGCCACAGGGAGCAGCTCGTCAGCAATTTGTTCGCACTGTAAGCATTTGCCTCGCTGCCTCAGCTGGCCTTCACACTTGCAGTTCCGCACAAGGTGGGGCCCGATGCCGCGTGGGGGCCGGCAGGCGGAGGCGACCGCGGCCTCAAAAGCCGAGAGAATCTATCGGTGGCTTAGCATCACATTCGGATGATTGTCTGCTAAGTTTCCTGTACCTCCGAAAAGCTCGTAAGTGAGTTCAATGGCCTCGTGAGGAGCGTGGGAACTGGCCTAGCGTGTCGATTGTGTGAAGAAGAACCAAAGTCGCGGTACATGGCCCAGGTGGTAAAGCAAACTTTGCCTCCCAAAGCCCCTGGGCAGCCTCAGCAAATTTCAGAGAGTCTCGTCAGCAGAAAGCACGCGCAGGGGCTTGTGTGTGGCGATTCTTTTGCATTTAGGCTTGTGCCTGCACTGTTGCACGTGTCTCTCGTGTGTGATGCATTGCGGTCCTGGGAATGTGGCTCAGGATCCTTGGCGACCCTGAAGCATCGCTGGAGAGGCTGTTGTCCATGCTCATGCCAAGTGCATTCCCTGTTTATCATGTCACCACGACAAGCGTATCTGACGGAAGTGTGTGTGTGTGGGGCTAACGCGATCAGGCTGCTCAAAGAAACCATTGCTCCAGAAGGAGCGAAAAAAACAGCCGAAGCTCTGAATGCGGTTAAGGCACGTACGGGGAGTCCTCTGCATTCTTCTGCTTAAGTGTCGGCGATGTCTGCTCTGACAGGTTGAGCGGGCTGGAAATACGTACTACGTCGCCCAGTTGCACACAGTCAGAAGAAGTGTCAACTAATCCACTGCTGTGAAACCCGGCGATGCGCATGAAATGCGCAGTGCTGTAAAGTGCTGTGCATACGCCAGGAGTATCAATGGCGCACGACCTTCCCATCTGGCGCAAAGCTACGGAGCTTCAGCAGCTGTGCGCTGGGGCCTGCCGACCGACGAGGCAATCGCATCTCGGATCCGTTACAGCCGGCATTCCGGCTCATCTTCTATTGTGTCCACGTCATGTGCTGCCGAGGTAACTTGTACACCCTTACTGCCGTTCTACCTGAGTCGGAGGTGGTTGATGGCCAGGGAACGGCGCCTCTAATTCCTGAAATCATGGAAGGATTTATCGTCCAGCCAGAGTCGGATTGAGGTCTCCGAGAGCGCATGCTTCTGCTCGAAGCTTGTCTGCCTGCGAGCGCTTGACGACACGATGACGTGATGCAGGAAGCTCTGAAGGTCGTTGAGCTTGCGACCTGCCCTGTCCACTTGTCAGTGGGCCCAGAGAGGCTTTCTGTGGTGACGCTCTCGGACGAAACCCAGGATGTGCCCTTGCTCCCGCACCTAGCGGACTGGACGGCGTGTAAGATGGCGATTGCAATCTTTCCGGAGAAAACGGGCGTGGGCGGCTGGTGCACCTTCAACGGTTGCCACGCCGTCTCTTACGTGGCATCAACCGAGGAGCAGTGCTGATTCAAATGCCTGTCGGCTATAGCCATCTTCTTGCGCCGGAGTCTCAGCGAGGGCTCACTCTGTCTTGGCCGTTGTGCAAAAAGCCACAAGAAGGTCCGTGGACGACATTCGCATCATTCAGAGAGGTGCCACGAGTGCATTCCCCATGGATCAGCCACAGGCCTGATTCACGGTCTTGGGTCTTCGAAGATGAGTTGCGCGATTTTGTGCGCCACTGCAACTCCCCGTGTTCAGACGCGGTCAACCAGCAGCATCACGGTCGCTTGGACAAAATACATCGGCAAGTGCATCGCTGTCTCTCAGTGATTGAGAAGAGAGCTCACAAGGTCCTCCTGAATCCTGGAGTTCTGGACTCGGACAGCACGGTGAGGCAGCCAAGGAGCTTTGCAAGTCTCATGTTTGGGCGGAGGCAACTATCGCTGCTGGTGGGTACGGGCAAGGACCCTGGCCCTAGCGTTCCAGCGCATCCCAAGGAAGCCGAAGACGGCCAGCTTTGCGTCTAAAAATGCTAGCGGCACCAAGCCTCCCAAGGTTTGAATACCCATTCCGCATGCCCAGAGAAGATCCAATTCAGAACCTCGGCGGCGACTGTTATGGCTTTTTGATGCGTCCAGCTTCTACCGCGGTGCTGTAGATTGTTAACCAGATCAGATCAATATGATCAAAATCAGCACTGCCTCGACCTGTCGCCAAGGAACATTTGGACAGTGTCCCTGTGCTCTGGAGTGTATTGCAACTCTGTTGCACAGGAGGGAGGGTAAAGTGCTAATATCCTCCGGTGATGTTTTAGGTCGTGACGCCTGCTTCTCTGCAGTTAATCCAGCCCCGTTTGCGCGTTGGGCCTTGCTTTTGGCCGGACTTTGGTACTTACAGGAACCTGCCGGTCACACATGACGACAGGGAGCTTCTGTGGATTGCAGGTGGCTCCCACGCAGCCAGTCACCCACGCAAAAAAACCCAGTGAAGACTCTATCAACTTTTCAGATTACAGCAAAACTTCTGAGCCAGCGAAGAAAGATTTGAAAATAGCCCGAATCTGCAAAACCGCCTCGACAAATTCCCGCACACTAATCAGTGAAGAAGACATCCCTGGAAAGGCCCAGGCCTCGTGTGAGGTTTCCAAAGTCGGAATCTTGTGAGTTGGTTGCCAGAGTATGGAAACCACTGTGCTGAAGCGAGTCGACAACTAGCTAACTAGCTCAAGACCCCGTCCCGGCAATGCGACTCAACATTTGAACGGACGGGGGGAGTCCAGCAATGCCGATTCATCAAGGACGAGTCTTTTAGACCACTCTGTACCTGCTTACATCTGTGCAGTTGCTGTAGGGCTCATATCCTTCGTGCCTGACATGCTCGTTCGAGATTTTTAACTTCTCAACTCTGCCAAGCACTGTCCGCAGCTGCTCCAGGTGACAATGCTCGACATGCTTCAGCGTGGCCCTAAGTTCCTCCTGTCTGTGTGGTTTTCATTGCAGCCCATGACAGTGCGTGTCCGTGCATGTCGTAGTACACGCCCACACAGTGACACACCGACACACCCATATCACTCAGGTAATCACGAGCTTCGCTTTCAGTGGCTTTGAAATCGGCAGTCTCCTTACAACGGCTTGGCAATCCACGACCGCCGGCCTGAATATGGTAGCACACGTCGCTTAGGTGACCTACCCACTCTGCTAAGACCTGCAGTGTCTGCATCCAGTAAGAGGCGGGCTTCGAGGATCTCAGTGCATCTTTGCGGTATGTGTGGCCTAGGAAATTCAGTTCGCTTTGTCGCCAGACTGTGGCCGTGGCTTGTCCTGGCCATGTCCTTTTGTGTGAACAGTAGATAGATTCAGTAGACGCATGGCATGCAGCAAAGGACTGCATACGATAATGCACTCAGCTGGTCGGCCAAGCCTGCCATGCTGTAGTTTCACAAGAATCACGATAATTCATGGACGGCAAAGCTGCGCATGCAGCGACATGTAGTGAGAAGGGTTCAAAGTCCTCTAATGTCAGATGTGCCCACGTCGTGAAACACGGCCGGCACGACACCGAGCCGTGACTTGGCTCCACATCCTTTAATGGGAGGGGCTCAAGTTGCTCAAGGGTATGTGGTCATGGAAAGAGCGTCAGCACTACCATCCGACTTGCGATCTCATCCTTTAGAAAACACAGCGAATCCCAAATGAAATGCAACTAATCGGAAAGTAATTTTTGAGACCCGAACACATAAAATCAAGCATCCCTGAGTAACCCGATGGACTTTTGAAGGTATATCCCCACCTGGATACACGTGTGGTGGATGTTTTGGATGTTTTGGGGTATGTCTGTAGTGAGGGTTTGGGTGTACGTTTGTGGTGGGTATCTGTAGTGGATGTCTGTCGTGGATGTTTTGGTGGGATTGTCATGTTAGCCAGAGATTGGATGTTGGATGCTGTGGTGGAAGTTGCCATCTCCTCCTTAGGGAGGATGACAGGGTTCAGTTCATCACAGGGTCAGCCTTTCATGGATATGTTGGATGCCGCAGGTTTGGTAAAGCTTAGGGACCGCAAAAGCACGCTGTTTGAGCAAGTGCTTGGGAATTTTAGCCTTTGCAAATCTGCGACAGCATGCTCCAGCAGTAAACTCAAAAGTCACAATCCTCGCCTGATTCGCCGCCTTGACTCACGGGCGATGCCGGGCGAGGCTGTGCAGACCTCGCCTGCAGTACGTGTCACGTGATGTCACGTGTGTGAGAAGCCTGTGTGATGGGATGATCTGTGGCCCTGCCATCTTCCGTTTGCGTTCGGAACAGTGGTGTCCTGTCCCCCCAAGGTGCAAACGAGGCCTTCACACCACGCAGAACACCAGTACGAAGGCTTCTTGAAGGGGCACGCGCCTGAGATACGGACTTTATGCGTGATCTGATCGCATCGACACCAAGGCTGGGTGCTACGTCCCAGGATGTGATATGCAGCAAGAAAGCCTCGCAGTTGAAAAGGCGCGTGTTTCTGCTTGTAGATAGTCTGGAGAAGACGGCTATCTGCAAGTTGACTTTGTGGCTGCTGCAGTGTTGGAGGCTCCATGAAGCTACTCATTTTGCAATCGGATGCCACAGCCCAAGCAGTGACTGACTGAACAGTTTCCCAATCTGTGCTGATAGTCAATGAGCAGCTGTGTAAGGTCAGAAGTGGGACGAAGGGAATCGGGGAGCTTCCGTTACTCACACCACTTTTGTGGATCCAGAGGCGACGCTCGCAAGCTCAGCATGAGCTGTACTGGGCATGCGCGGGGGGGGGGGGGGGGGGGATCAATCACTCGTGAGGTTGTGTATGCCACCAGCGATGCTCCAGACAAGAACATGAGTGTCGTTGAACTCAGACAGTGGTCAGCTCGGTCTTGACGCAAATACCAGATGATAACAACATGTGCTGCGCACGAGACGTGAGCTAAGTCTGTCTCAGAGTTGTGCCATGTGCGGGGTCACGAGGCAGGCCTTCAAGCCGGAGATCCACTATCGCACCGAGCAGCGCGACAGGTTTGAAGATCCAGGCATAAGTCAGAGTTCTGTTACAGCAAGGAATGCCGCCATGCTGCGTTTGGCCGCAGTTTATTCAAGCGATCCACTGCAGGACCGCAGCCGAAGAATGACACTCTGGTTCCAGTGGTTTCAGCCGGCTGCTTATGCAGTACCGCTGGAGCGTTTTGTGACAAGCTGCCATTCTGCAAGCACATGCGTTCCAACTCCAACCAAAGCACCAAGACACACCAAGAGATGTTTTGAAACGCAGCACCGCCCTCGCCCATCTTTGGTTCTTGTTTTGTCACACTGAAGCTTTAAGGGGTGTCCGCAAGCCAGACTGCAACATTTGGCTTTGTAGAAGCCATAGTCATACTCTAGCACCGGTGAGCTGCAGATCCTTTTGCCGCACAGGTGCACTTCGGAGATGATAGGCGCAGAGACAGCCGCCTTTCTGTACGGACCTGCACGGTAAACTTCGCCACTGATCGCAGGCCAGGCTACTCGCTGCAATCCCACTCAGCGCATCGCAAAATAGCGCAGGACCGTGACTTGGAGTGTCTGAGTCTGAGCTGAAAGGTTGTCCACGCAATCCGCATGATTTCTTGCCCGAGTACTTCTCAACAGGAGGAGCACCAGCACCAAAAAGTTCTTCGGGCGGCGGGGTCCGGCGTGCTGATTCCCACAAGTGCCTGGCCCAAGCTCCTTGGTTTAATGTAACTGCGGTGCTGCGTAGACGGACGCTATTCTGAACACGAGGCCAGTGCGCTGCAATCCAGTGACTGGTGGACCCAGAAGCGACCGGCTAAGCACATGCAGACACTTCCAGGTGTGTCAGTTTGTTGTTATGATGTTCTCAGATGCTGATGTCTACGACCTGGGCGTGGCAGCGGGAGTTCGGCATGATCGCGTCAGCCAAAACAGCTCTACCATCGTGCATGAGGCACGCTGGGTTCTGTCGGAGTTCACAGCTGATTGCCGGTCTCAGCCAGGCTCACGTCCGGAACCCTATTCATGGGTCTTATGCTCAGACATGTTTATGACTTCGTGGCATTGCATGGTGCATCGCACCCGTCGGTCGGTATAACATGTTTTCCGTTTCATGTCCCGCGGAAGATTGTGTCTGGATGAAGATGAAGGAAAGTGTCTCACATTGTTAGTACAGCAGTGGTTCGTGCTGGTCGCTTCCAGCTCAGATCGGTCTCGGTAGCGTAGCGTTTTTGCTGCAGGGATTTCCTGGAGTCGGTAAGGCTAGGCAAAGTGGCCATGAAAAGCAACTGGCCTGCGCAGTGTCGGGAGTTCCAATAGAATCCAGGTGTGGACAGATGCTCGTTGTCGATTCCGATTTCGACTCCAGCCCTGCACGCTAGAAGCAGCAGGGAGAAGGAAAGGACCTGTCTAGGCTACCGATGGAGGTGCTTTCGGCTAAGAGGCACAAGGCCCGGGCCGAGCAGCACCAGACATCCACCCGCTCTTTTGAAGTTCTCGAAACCCTTTCAGGCGAGCGAAACACCCGGGTTCCATGCCCAAAAAGGGGCCGGGAGTGAACAAACGCGCCACACACTTGAAGATCTTTCAGCCATGGATTCGGAAAGGGCCCGCCCACAACGACAGACACTTGGAGTCCCAAGCTCCGACCACCGTCTCGTGCGAGGTGAGCTATTTCGCAGTGTCTAAAATTGTTGACAACTGCTGTCAGGAGCTTCCATCTCGTCGATCCCAATTTGATTGCAACCCAGGTTGTAACTTGATCATGACTTGCTATGCCCGGAAACCATGGCGTATTGCCTGCGAGGGATGGATGACTTGCCGTAAGGTATGTTGAGTGCACGAGCGCCACTGAACCGAGGATAGCAATTCCCCTGCACGCCTATGCCAATCCGAGAGGGGAGTTGGGAAGGAGCGGACCCTGTGCGGTCTGCAGGGCTGAATCGGGCTTTGCTGTCTGCTCTTGTTGGAAGGAGCTCGGAGCAAGTGGTGGCAGAAGCCAACCGGATGGTTCCGGCGCTGCGATCCTTGGCTGCTGTGCGGCCGGGGTCCTGGTGAGGGCAAAGTTCTTGCGCTTCCCGATGTCTTGAAGCGGAAAGCATCAAACCCAAGAACCGTTCAATTGAGTTTGTCAGCCACGAGCCTTGCTAACTTAACCTTGCCGAGTTTGTTGTTCATCCTCGTGGTGACTGTCTAGGGTCTCCGGCATGTTGCAATCCCCAATGGCGGTCGAAGGCTATATTCCGGCACGCCACGCCAAAACAGGCAGCAGAAGCAGCAAGAGCAGAGGACGAGGAACCAGAAGGGGCATAGGAGGAGGCAGCAGCATCTACACCAAGCAATCGCAAGCGACAGCAGTGGTGGGCGCGAGCTGCAGTCGCTGGCTGCAGAGAATTCTCTGTCCCCGTCTCTGCCTCTCTCTCTCTCTCTCTCTGTCGTTCGCTCGCTGTCTCTCCACAGCCTTCCATCTGTCTTTCTGCTTGTTTTTCCTCAATCGCACTCGTGGCAATGGATCGCAACCAGAAGATGCAGCCAGTGCTGCCGCCAGCTGACATCCTCATGTTGGACGTCTTGTCGGAGCAAGCTATGAAGCACCACCCAAGCGCGAGGTCGCAAACCAGTCAAGTTACCAACCACATCCCGCTGTTGTTCGTTGTTCACACAGAGCTGACTTCCGACCCAGCGGGCCTGCTGAAAGACTGTGACAGGTCAAGGCGTGTTATTTGAGACCTCGGTGGAAACATCGACCCAAGGTGCAGAAAGACTGTAGTAGCTGTCGACTACCATCCAGGAGCTCAGCAAAGACGATCCCCATTTACAAGTCACCAGAACACAACCAGCGAGCCAAATGAACAAATCAAAGCCAGCCGCACCTCGAAGGCTCGAAATGATGCGATTTGTACTATGAGTACTGGCTGAGTTTCTAGGGTCTAGATACGGTTTGACCTTTGCATTCCGGATCCACGATGTTGTCGGGGGACCGTTAGGATCTCGCTTTGCGTGTGAACAGCAACAGTCGGTCCCTAGCCATTTTGTGAAGGTGTCCCTTGGAAAGCGAAACCTTTCTTGTGAATGTGGACTTCTCACGCTTAAGATTATGTTTTTCATAGCAAATTTGGAAGTTCACGGCACGGGTTCAAATCAGATCCGGAACATCGCCGCCGATTCGGCGCAGGTAGTCCAGCGGGGGTGCACTTGTGAAGTGCGTGGTGCAGTTGTGGAGATCCGTGGGCATGCTTGTGCATGTCAGGCCACATTGCTGATGCTGCGGAGTCGGGCTGCTCCGCCGAAAATTTGTGTTGTAAAGTGTTCGCAAAAGTCTTCATGTTAACTGAGCTGCCAAGCGTCCAGCTGGCTTCAGGAGGGAATCCACTGCTGTGCTGCGTCAAGAATTGTTCTGTAAGATGCCGAGCCTTTTTCCTGCGCTTGTCCAGCTTGTTCAAGTCATCCCAAATTATCACCGTCACGTTCTCTACGTGGCCGCAAAACTGTGGCCATCGCAGTTTCACCCCCGGCGTTGGTACCTAGCGGTGACCGACTGTTTCAAATAAGATGATTAGAAGCTAGTAATGCCTAGCAGCAGCTATAGCAGTTGGCCGGTTCCATTCTGGACTTGCACTCGCGTCTTGTTAACGGAGTCTCGTCGCAGACCGATTGCGGTGAGTTGCATGGAAAGGAGCGCTTGAAGGCAGTACGACAGAACTACCATGGTGTCTGTTGAGCTTTGCAGCATGGGCTTGGAGAGACACTCCGACCTTGCGTTGCCGGTGCCATCTTCCTGCCGGCGTTTAGCATTGCTGGGTGGACCATCCTTGTGTCTGACTGTACAGACCATGGCTGCCGCATCTTCAGATGACCCCGGTCCACCAGGCTGGTGGGACTTGAAAGCATGAACGCCAATGTGTCGGTCAGTGCCGGAATGGTGAGGTCTGAGAAGCTCTCACGCTTGGTCCAAGGCTTGATCACCTGCATTCGGCCAGGTGAGAAGCGGTTTGAAATCAAGAAGTGGAGCGCGGTGGGCCCTCGCATCGCTCTTCGTTTCTGCAGTCTGTTCTGCGTGTGGCATTTCTGACGAGCGACCTGCATCGATGTTTTCGGAAGTCTGTGGGAAGAGGAGTAGCTGCATGAGATAGCTCAAATTACTTGCAGTGGAAACGAGGGCGAAACACCTCAAGATCGTTGCCACAAGTAAGCAGCCTTCGAACGTCTGATTTCAGGCGGGTATTAAACGAAGGAAGCAGGGCGAAAGCTTACAGTACAGAATCTCAACCTTCTAGCAGTCCCCATGTCAGCGGGCAGCCTGGCAGCATGCCGACTGGAGAAGCATGCAAGGATGGGATGCGCTTCTCCGGTTCGGGGATCCCCTCATGTTCCGTACATGGTGGTGGTCCCTCCAGGCTCCACGGGCTCTACGGGTGCCACGGGCAATGGCAATGTGCGCACGGAGGATGAAGGGGCATTCTCCTCAATGGCTGACCCTTCTTTCTCTTCCGGCTTGTGTCATTGAAGACCTGCAGGGCCGTTGCCCTTTCCTTCTGGAACATGACGACAGCAAGATTGTCCCGCCCTCGCTGGGGTCAGATTGCTCTTCGGGAGCCACTGTTCTCTCGCTGCGATGCAAGGTCATCTGCATGTGCAACTACTACTCCTTGGGGCAGGCCGAGGCTGGTGATGCGTGATGCACGGCTCAGTAGTGGAATACATCCAGTATGATGTTGCATGATGTTGGTCTAAGAAAGGGGGGACCGAGGTAGCCAGGCGTGATCAGCATGTTCCGAAACCCCGATGCAGTTGGCCCGAGCGCTGTTGCAGATCATTGCCAGCAGGAACTTGGCCAAGGCACTGTTCTGCATGCAACATCATGAAACTTGCATAACTTGCACTGCTGCTGTGGCCTGATCTGGCCTGGAGCCTTCAACCCGCGAACAAGAGCTTTGGTAAGTTGCTCGTGCTGTCCAGGGTCGGAGGCACAACAGGGAGCTGTGAACCTCTGCATGGGCCTTGCGTTGTCTCGACAGGCTCTGAGATGTCTGAGAAAGATCATTTGGTGCTCCCTTTCTCGGATAGGGCTGGATAGGGGGGAGTCGCCGACGTTTTCATCGGCCTTTGCTTAAGTCGTTTGCGCATCATAACCTTTGCTTGCCAGGCCTGTGGGATGCTACCATGCATTTTCATGCTTTTTCGCTTCTTTGCGAGTTGCAGGTTCTGTGCCCGCTTGCAGCTTTACTGCTCGATCTAACACGGCACATGACGGATATGATGTCGATCGCACAAAGGACGAAGGATGACAGCAACGAACGAAATGCAGAAGCACGTCACGAAATAATTCCTTCCTCGCCTCAACTTCCAAGAGCTGCAGCTTTGGTTGCCTTTGGCCTGGCTGAGCTATAGACGATTCGTGTGGTCCGGTCCTTCGAAGCTGCGTATCATCAGGAATCATGGCCGTTCGCGTCACGGGACGACGAAGTGGCTCCGGTCAGCATGCGGCGCAGCCGGGTTTACACAGAAGAGCAAGATTTCCAAAGCAAAAGCCGTCGAGAATGCTGGGTGCCAGGTGCCCCAAGCCGCAAATGAATCGGAGCTTGAAGCCAAGCTCAGGCAAGCCCGAGCTGGGACCCCATGAAGCTGTCACGGAGTTATTGTGGGTGAGCTTGGGTGCGAACTGAAACCTGTTGCCTGCAGCGTGTCTGCTCAACCCGAGCTAACTATTAATGCTACAGCCTAGCCGCCGCACGCTCAGACAAGCAGCACCAGCAAAAGACTGCAGCTTGAGCCCAAGACACTCCGCCGCCGCCATGCTGTAAGCTTCAGATGCGGCTGCTGTTTGCGGCTTGGCTGCTCAGGCCCCGGAAGGAGTTTCTTGCAAGAGTCACTTCCTTCGAACCTCCGCAGGACATGCTCTGCAAGCAACTCGTCGCAGCTAGGAACCACCAGGCTCACAGTCATCGATGCGAATGGGGGAAAGCATGTTTATGTGGCGAACGCGGCACGCTGGAATGCACCCCGACAGACTGGCACTTGCTTGGGTCTCGCAGGCACGACACTCGAGAAGTGATAATGGACTCAGGCATGGCACGGTGGCGACAGAGAGTGCCCGAGCTCTTCGAGCTGCTTGCCGTGCCAATGGCCTGAAACTGGTGCCGCTGCTGCATCCGGGCCTCTGATGCCAGCGCCTGGCAATGGACAAGCCTGCAGCAGGCACGGCGCCAACCCCACACAGGAGCATGCATGGGACACCCACTGTCGCAGGGACGCCGTGCCCCCGGCTCCGCCGCTCAGCAGCTCAGTGCTACTGGCGAGACGTGGGGCGTGCACTTTTGAGGAGCGTGCATCCTGTGAGGGACCAGAGCTCCGGCTCCGTAAGACAAGCTGCCCTCCAGGAAAAAGCAATCGTGGCAGCAGAAAGAGGCTACTGCGGCTTGGTGGTTTTCAACAGGAGTCCATGAGAACACGAAGCATGCAGATCTGCTGTCATCTTGAGCAGCTTGACATAGCTTGACGCAATCGAGGTTGCATGTGTCCGATGAAAGCCGAAGACTCCTTTGAAGCCATTCCGTCTTCCGGCCGCGTGTCTCTTTCTCTCTCTCTCTCTTCCGAGGAGGAGCGGTTTGCCTCCACCCGCAGTCGGGATTTTGGAGCTGCCGGACATGACAGCCGGTCGGGAGCGACGCCTGGCTGGCCTGGCTGCACACGGACATCTGAGCAGAGGGACGGATCACAGTGCTTCTGCAGACGCAGTGCTTCAAGAGCTGTCGCGAGCCCAGGAGATGAGACTGTGGCAGTGCCCGCTTGGCTTGTCTCAAAGGCTACGGCTTCTATGATGCACACGAACCAAAATGTGCTTCGTGCTTTTGGTAGGAGGACGGCCTGGAGCTGCTGGGGCTGGCCTCTGGAACCTTACGGGCGGAGGTGCCAAATCTCGCTTCTGGCGTCAGGCCCATGAGCTGCCAGATGCACTGCCTCTGCGCTGCAGGTGATTGAGCAAGAAAGGAAGCCCCCCTTGTGGATCGCGCAGGCTGCTCTCATTGTGCCGACGTCAGATTCAGCTATCTCAATCTGCCAGGCGGACAGCTTCGGCATCCGGGACTATCAGCTGGACTAGGACGACTTAGGAAAGCAGGCCTGTCAGCTGGGTGTGGCCCAGTCGAGCAATGCTGGAGAGTCGATTATGGGTGGCCTACGTCTCCTTTTCGTGGATCGCGAAGAGCTTCATGCTCGATGGTGTTCGATTGCCATGGATGGGCAATCGGTGCAGCTGGAAGTCGGGGCTGCGAGTGGTGATCGAAGCTGGTCTGTGTGTGGACGTCAGAGCAGCTTGTCGTCCTTCGTGTGGCATGCGCACGGAACGCAGCACATCCGGCAAAAATCTGGGTGCGAGCACGGGCATGTCTTTGTAAGACCCGGCCTAGCGGTGTACCTTGTCGTGTCGCTCTGAGGCGAAGATCGGTCAGGGCCCTGTCTTCGAACCTTTGTGCGGGTCTGGTCGGCCAGTTGCGAAATTTGCGCCAAGGTGACCCGGATGCAGGAGCGTTTTCGGCCACTTGGCGGCACTAGAGGAACGGAGCGGCTTGGCTTTTTCAAGTAGCGCTTCTCTGACACGCAAGTTGCTGTTCCAGGTGCCGGTGCCGGCTTCATCGACTTCCATCCAACTTCCGCACGGAGCACTCAACGATCCTGCCTCAGATTAGCCAGAGCTGACGAGACTCGGACATGCTGGGGCGGGGACTTAACCAGGCTGCCTAAACTTCGCAAAGGTCCGCCGCGAAAATAACTTCTTCGCTGTGCGCTCGTCGGCGCCCTGCAGTATGCATCGCGAAATCAGCCGCTCGCGACTCTGCGGGTTGAGACCCGCTGAAGCCTTTCAACACCCAGGGCAACGCAGGCTACGCAACCACGTGCGGCTTCTCCGTGCAGTCAGCAGGCACGGGGCTTGATTTGGGTTTACTTGTTTTTGCATTTCCTTCATGCGATCTTTCTCTTCTCACCAGACCTCTAGATGCACCCTACATGCACTGCACGCAGTCTCCCTGCCCGCTGCTTTGGAGGTCCAGCAATGCCCTCTGCAGCAGGTCCCCTTCACAGCAGCACAGATGTCCACAGCTGAATTTACAGGAGTGCTTGTTGGATGCTTGAGCTGCAAAGCAGAGCAAATTGATGCAATCCGAGGGTGCAGCCACGGCATGGCGCCGTGTCTCCAACGGCATCGCAGGCGCTGCTTGAAGGGCCAGGGCACAGCTGCATTCACAGGTCGAGGCCGAGGATTTGCTGAGATGCCGATGCATGATGCACCAGGGCCCACTTCAACGCGCACCTCGCCTAAGCTGGCCTCCGAGTTCACAAGTGGTCCTGCTTTGTTTTATATTGCGTGGCGGTGGAAGACGGTGAATTCATGACGTTGTCCTGGACGGCATGGCAGGGGCACCCGAGTGTTCCCAGCACGCCTTGCACTCCCAGTCCCAAGCAGCCGGCTGAGCGAGGGCTTTGCAGAGATGTGGTATACGGCAGAAATGCCGGAGTGCATTTGGCAGCAGCACAGTGCAGCATTGGCAACACCCGGAACTAGAGCAGACATGCTCAGGCCATTGCCTTGCCAGGGTTCTCAGACCAGCAGGACCTCGTGTGAGTCCCAGCACAAGAGGAAGCAGAGCTGCATGCAGCGGCGGCAGAAACTGTAGGCGGGAAGGCGCACCTACACGGCTCGCCTCCAGTCAGGGTCCAACGCCGAATCTGCAAGGTTCTGCTGTGCCTCAACAGTCTCAGACTGGCTATGATATGCCACATGATTTCACCGCCGCTTCTGCTAGGTCAGCTAGGTGCCATGAGTCCATCACGGCCAGCGGTCCAGGGCCAGGGCATGCTGTCAAGCCCTCCCAGCCGCGTGAAGGGCTCAGGTCTGGACGTCGTCCTCTTGCGGAATTTCATTCCTTTCTTGCTTTCTTAACTCATTCTTGACCCAGTCCGATATCCTCAGCGATGGAAGCGAGGCAAGCTGGGCACAGGGCGAGACTGGTGGAGTGTCTTGTGTCTTGGACCTGGTGTTCTGCAGGTGCCCAGTCGGAAGACATTGCCTTCCGGCGTGAGACTTCAGGCAGCTCAGATTTGTTGGACGGCCCCAAGTGAAATTCGGGTCCTGGTGTCGGCAGATTTGTGGTTTTCACGGCTGGGCAAGTATGCAAGGTTAATGTTAATAGGTTTTCTGCCCGGTTTTTGACGAGGGCAACCGACAGCTGGGAGTCTACGGCTGCTTCGAATTAACGACCATGGGCAAACCTATCATGCGTGCTTCTGGCCAGGTGAGCACGCAAGAGGCCCGGAGCCATGCAAGAATGAGAATTCGGTCACAGACGTATCGGCTATACTGTGTGGCAGGACGCGCAGCACGGACTGCAGGCTTGAAATTGCCTACACTTTAGTGCACTGTACAGTAAGCGGTATCTTTGCAATCTATGCCTGCGCACTGAAGAGCTTTCGACTTTGCAGGTCCAGAGTGTCATGGTGACGCCAAAAACTGAGCCTTTACTCGTGGCCGCGCTTTGCAAACTCAAGCTTGTCTTGATGCCCCGAGTCAGTGGCCACAGGAAAAGAAGTGAGAGAAGCGCCGAGGCAAAAGCGATCTCTTTCCGGATGCTCTTTGTGTCTGTGTGTGTATGTGTGCGGATGCGCTCAGAGTGCATGTGCTGGCGACTGTGTGCGGGTGCCCGAGCACGTGCCCTTGCAAGTGCGCATGCGCGTGCACGTGCAAGCATCTTTCTCTGTCCTTGTCCCTGTCTGTGTCTTTGTCGCTGAGAGTGGCTTTGTGTCGGCGTCTGTAAACGTCCGTCTCGACCTTCCCTCAAGCCGTCCGTCCGTCTGCCAAGCAATCTCTGACGATCTCTGTGTCTGTGTCAGTGTGTGTGTGTGTGTGCGCGCGTGCTCGTCTTTGTCTGCATCTGTGTCTGCCTGCATGCCCTCCTCCTGCCTTCCTGCCTGCCTGCCTGCCTGCCTGCCCGTCCGTTCGTTTGTTCCGTTTCATTGTCTTTGTGTCTCCCCGTGTCGGTCTGAGCGTTCTTTGTCTGTATTTGTCCATGTCCGTCTTTCCATATCTGTCCGTATCAGTCCGTGTCCGTCTATGCTCTGCCTGGCTAGTGAGCAATCTGTCTGCCTGTCTGTCTGTTTGCCTTTGGGTCTCGCTGGCTCGTTGTCTTGTTGTCTCCCGGTTTCTATGACTCTGTGTCTCTGTCTTTTCTCTCGTCTCTGTGTCGTTTGCCAGGGTACAAGACGATGCTAGATGAGTCATCTCCAAGCGTGCCACAATTGACAGGATTTGCAGAAGGAAGTTGCCGTGCTTACGAACCTCCTTCATCAGGACTTGTTCTGAGCCTCTGACATTGCGACAGTGTCTGAGTCTAGGTAGGCTGTCGGCAGTCGTCAACGGCATCATCTGTCTCTAGTAGCTGCTGTAAGCCGGATCGAAGACTGTCCTCAGCATCGAGGTTGTCACTAGATTCCGCTACGCTGACTCTAGAGCATTAGCCAGACATGGCAAGGTATTCGTTCACCCGAAAAGGTTGGAATTGTGACCCGATCTGTTTCTGAAAGTCGCCAGGAGCGCCGGCAAGCCAACGATGCAGGGGGCTTATCTTGATCTGGTATGCTGTGGCAGACGCTCGCTGGGGATGGAAGTTCCTGATATTGTCAAAGTCGCCTGCAAGGCATTCAACAAGCTCCACAACAAGTGGTCTTGCGACCTTCGTGCCAACGAGGACGACCGATGCCGAAGCCAGCCCTATTTGCATGCCGGAGTCGAGGTCGCGAATCGTTGTTTTGCAATGTGGGCGTCAGTCGAGCTGTCGCCATAAGGTAGGCTCTCAAGTCCTGACTGCGCAAGGACTTCATCAAGTACTTGCACAACGAGAAAGATCGGTGCTTTGGCAAGAACTATCAAGAAAGAGTAGGGAAAGCAATGGTGTGACCGCGAGCTCACTTGCTGGACAGCGCTCTGTCTTTCTGTCAAGAAGATCAGATGTCTGCGCACAGGATGCAACAAAAGCTGGAGGCACTTATTCAGAAATAGGTTGCAACAGTATGACAGTGCCACAGCATTCCTAGTCACTTGGACAGGGCCTTGAGAATGAGCGCAAGGGTGTCATTGCCCAGTGGCAGCAGCTTGTGGCGGGTTTCCCAGTCAATGTAAAGCTTAGAAGCTCAGTCGTGCTCATCTGTTCTTCAGTAAGGCCGAGAACGAGGACTTGCGGAAGGCGCGCAAACTGAAGTCTTGGTGTGTGGGCTTATGTACGCATGTTCCAGGAGCTGCGAACCAAGAACAGGCAGCTGGAGGCACGACAGTCTGCACTTGTCCTGACTGCCATGAACTCTCATGAACATCACGAGAATGCAGAGCCGGCTTCGCAGGGTGAGAACAGTGACTTGAAAGAGGCCGTCGTACCCGGAATTTGCGCTTAACTGATAGATGCCGAACCTGCAACTCATCCGTGCATGAGCCACAAGAGTCGGCATTGCAACCGTTCGGGAGTGCAGCTGCGGCACCGTGCGAGGCGCTGACAAGGCTTCAGAGCAGGCTTGAGGAGTTGAACAGCTTCGAGCACTTTGCTGGTGGTTGCTTGTCTTCCTTGCTCAGTCGACAGTTTCCTTTGCAGTCCATGTGCGGTTGTAAATTTGTTCGACGCACACCAATTCGAGGTGAGCTTGAAGATGCGAAGGCCAAGGCACATTGCTTCGCTTTCTGCTTTGCACCACAAGCGATCTTCAACTGACCACTCGGCAGTATCGTGATTATTGCCAGGTAGCTGACATGGCAGGCACCTCGCTCGCACAAAACGGCGCCTTTCTTTTTCGTCTGTGCAGAGTGCAGTAGTTGCGAGCCCACCGGTACCAAGATGAGCTTGCGGCAGCGCAGAACCAGGCAGCCTACATGGGTCCATGCACCTGGTGTCCAGCAACTCTCATCTACAAATTTTCTCGGACAGGTGGCCAAGTTGCAAAAGGAAAATGCCTCGTTGCAGAAGCAGGCTCGACCGTTCAAAATGTAAATCGAACAAACCTGGACTGGGGTTCTTAAAGCAAGGCACTATCAATTCCGTGTTGCCCTTGCTTACCGCCATCGCCCTGCCCCCCGCACCACGCTACAATCTACAACAATCTTTTCTACAAACCTAACGATTAGTGCATNNACTTTGAAGTTATGAAGGGTAAGTTACGTAGTATTTTTTCGTGTCGGCGCTTGGATAATTCAATCGCGCACCATATAGATAATTCAACTTCGTATTGTGTTTATTGTAATTGTAGTGCCCATTACATAGTATTAATATTTTCTATTATTATTTATATGAGTTCGGATAAACAAAAAATCATTAATGATATATATTTTGACCGCTCGGGGTTTGGAAGTAGGGCTACAACTCTACAAGATGCTAAAAAGAAGGACGCCACTATTACTAAAGAAGATGTGGAAGAATTCTCTAGAAAAAATGTTGAAGAGAAAAGGA